TAGCTTTGGGGCTCCCTGCAGGCAAGTAGCTGTCTGAATTCTGCTATTGTCAGGGCTTAGCACAGAGCGGGGCACATAGGACTTACATTGAGCCTTTACTATGTGCCAAATACTATATGAAACCTTTAAATGGATTATCTCACTCCTTGAGGTATTTACTGTTACGTTCCCATTTTAGAGAAAATTGAAGCACAGAGAGGTAAAATAAGTTGCCCAAGGACACACAGCTGGTAGTGGCAGCGCTGGGATTCAGTCCCAGTCAGTCTGACTCCAGGGCCCATGTTATGCACTACTATGCTGGAAACATTTAAATATTGGTCGAATATATTAAAAGAGCTTTTCCCCACTTCCGATCGCATGACACTTTTTCCTTGTTTCTCTATTCTCTAAAATGCCCCCTTGCTCAGCTCAATTTTCTACATTCCTTCACCTAAACTCTCAACTATTCCTTGCATAGTCTTTTCTTGACAATAGTCTTGTAACTGTTCTTCACTGGGCCGGTGGTTTTTCACCTTTGAATTTCGGAGCCAGCGAAGAATTTGATTGATGAAAGTGATGGATTAACATACACATACACAAAAAGTTCGTGTACAATAGGCAGAGGAGCAAGGAGCACAGATCATCTTAAATTCATCCATGAATCCCCAGGTTCCCTTCCCATTGTTTGCGGGGGGTGGTGGTGGTGTGAGTGTGAAAGTTCAAACTCCTTTTCAAGACTTACCAGGTCAGGTTTACCTTTCTGGCCTCATCTCCAGCCACACATTATAAGTTTCGGGCTTAAGCGAACAGGGCAAGCACTTTTAACCTTCAGACATCTGCTTTTGAACTTCTTGCTACTTGGAATACTCTTCGCCTCCACCCCACTTGACCCTTTTTTTTTTTTTAACCAGAATGTTACCTCAGATGCCTTGCCTGACAAGCCAATCTCCAAAGCTATGAGAAATCCTTTCACCTGTATGCCTGTAACATTGTTTATACTTATGATAGCATTTGATCACGTTACGTTAGTTTCTAAGGAGCCTGTCTCTCTCGATTCATCGTTGTGCTCCTCTGAATCCCAGCGCTGCCACTACCAGCTGTGTGTCCTTGGGCAACTTATTTTGTATCCCCAATACCCTAGCACGTGCGTGACACATAGTAGATGCTCATAACCTTAACTAAGTTCTTTTGGGGGGAACTCGGCTCTCACTCCGCGACTGCCAAGTTCACTACAGGTTTGGAGAAAGCTAACACGCTTAGGAGAAATCTGAGCGATCAAAGTCCGCCGCGTGGGGACTCAACCACAGAAAGTGAGCTTGAGGACAGGCTTTGGGAGTAGGGCAGATTCCTGCCGTTTGCGCGTACACTCAGTGAGTAGCACTCATGCAGAAAGACGTCAGGGGTCAGGAGGAAGAAAGCCGCGCATTGTATACTGGGATCTGCGCAACTGACGGCCGCAATGCACGCCGGAATTTGTAGTCTCGCCCCTTGCCGGGCCCCTAAAACCAGCTACATTCAGTTACAATCAACCACGGCCTTACACAGATAAGGTGCAGTCGTGATCGTTCAACACAAAATTAGGAGATTCACCAGAGTAAGTATATCTACTACCACTCCAGAGGGAACCTCATTTTGGCGTTGTCTACCAAGCAGCATTGGGTGCAGCTGCGCGTGCTCTGTGTGCGCGCGCAGCGAGCCGCGCCCCCAGGTTCGTCAGCGCTGTGCGTGCGCGTGTTATCCTCATGAGCCCTCCTTCAGCCGGATGGCGCAGGCGCAGTGTCCCCGGGCCAAGATGGCGGCGCGGTGCTCCACACGCTGGTTGCTGGTGGCTGCGGGGACCCCTCGGCTGCCGGCTGCAGCGGGGAGAGGGATCCGGTCGCCCAAGGGGGTGGTGGTGGGGACATTGCTGGGACGCAAATTGAGCATTACAGCCTTCACGCCTTCCTTGGGAGCTCGCGGCCCCGGAGCGCTGCTGACATTGAGACCCGGTGTCAGCCTCACAGGTGAGGGCAAGCTCTAGCGCCCAAGCGGGGACTCCAAGGCCTGGAAGGGAGTGACTCGCCTCGTTCCAGCTACGTGGGTAGCGGGGTGGAGGGTATATTCCCACGTGTATGTGGAATTGCTTAGGGAGATGGGCAGGCAGGAAGCAGAGAGGCCCAAGTGACTACTCAGAATCGGAGAACAAGGGAGAGCTGCATGGATCTCCCGGCCGCGGGGGTGAAACGCCCCATAGGCCGTGAACTTTCACCTCTCTGTCAACATTTCTGGAGGCCTCTTTCTGGCTTATCGCTGCTCCCCTGCTCTGTTCCTTTCTCTTTCCTCCACCTTCTAGCCTGTAGCGGAAGGGAAGAGGTAACTGCCATTCGGTGAGCACCTGCTCTTGTCCTAAGGCACTTTGTGCCTCATCGCACTTGATGGTAACAACTCCGCGAGGTGGAAATCGTCACCCTAATTTTAAAGAATGGAAAACTGAGGTTCTAGGAGAGGAACTGACCCGCCCAAGGTCATAAAGTTAGATAAGAAGAGTCTCAAACCCAGAGCAGCACTTCTATAGCTTACATTCTTCCAACTAAATAGTGTAAATCAAAGACTACACTTAACTGCCTCTTTTAGAAGTCCTCGTTGGTAATTATAATAAAAACAAACATTTATTGAGCACTTGCTATTTACTAGTCGTGGATCCTTTCCATGTGATAGACACTATTATTATAACATTTTGTAGATAAACTGAGGATTATATGTTAAACAACTTGTAAAATGTCACAAAGCTAAGAAGTGGTGGAGCCTTGATTCAAAACCTGCTGCTTTCTTAATAGCCTGGGTGGTAGAGCATTAATATTTATTAAGCCTTTAGGTGCTTAGCCATAATAGTTTCTCATGGTGTGTGTTGGATGACTTCCATTACAGTGACAGAAGGAAGAGGAGGAATCATTGAACAACCATCTATGTGCCTGAATTGTGTTGGTTGTTTCTGTCCCCTAGAATTTGTGCAAATGATACTTAAACTGTCTATAACATTACAAAGATAATTAATTAAAGGGCCCTGAACAGATAATTTACACAAGATAACGTCCTATTGGGGTGCAGTTTTGTAATGCTGTCATTAAATATCAGTAGTTGTGATTACTTTGTACAGTGAACAAACTTGCCTCTATCAGTGTGAGTGTGTGTGACTTGGGTAATTATTTAATCCCTTTGAGCCTCTCTCTCTCTCTCTTTTTTTTTTTTTTTTTTAGGCTAGGCAATCCTAGGTTGACCTCACAGATAGCAAGGACCTTGGCAGCTTACAATTCCTTATTTTTTATTTTTTACACCTGTAGCATCTGGTCTTCCTAGGTGGTCTCCCATCCAAGTACTAACCAGGCCCGACCCTATTTAGCTTCCGAGATCCTTTGAGTCTCTCTTAACTGTGAAAATTTATTCATTCATTCACAAGTATTGAGGGCCTGTCATATGCCAGCCACTGTTCTAGGTACAGAGGATACAAGATTGGATGTGGTTTTGGATTGAATGTGGGGTTAAGTGATCCCATTTTTTA